ATATAAGCACTCTATAATAATCATGCATACTACTCACAAATCTATTGGATACATGTAAAAGGCTACATTATAATATCCCAGCCCCTTGTGGCATTTCAGGCATGTCACAACACCTTCCTTCTTCTGGCCTGCTTTCTTTCCCAAGGCCGTTCCTTTATCATACACAAGGCCATAATGTACGCAGTTTTTCTCTTTGTTAACATAACAGTCCTTTGTTAGCATAACTGTACCCTGGGTTTTTTCCTCTGTTTACCTCAGGTGGCTTCGACCAGCTCCTGCAGGGAGCTATGGCCTTGCTCTCTGCAAGCTGTTCTCCAACACTTCTGTCTTCTCCGTTCCTCTTGCCCCTGTCCAAGCAGGATGCAACAGTGAGTGCCCTTGTGCTCCTTGGTTTCAGGCTGTGCTTGGCTCCTGGGCTTCCGTGCCTTTGGCTGCCCAGTGCAGTCCAGAAAGGTGCCTTCTCTGTTACAGAGTGCCTGGGAGGGTAGCGCTGATGGTGGAGATGGGAGAAGTTTGCTAGCACAGCCACTGCAGGATTATCCTCTGCTAACGTTGAGTTTTGCAGTGTTCTGTGCTTTAAATCACGAGAGTGCTTAATGCAAGTTTTCTCTATTTAATTATAGCAGCCGTATCAGTATGCATAATGGGCTGCTAATATATTACTTTGGTGGACAGTAGTATTGCTAGCGCACAAAAGGTGCTGACTCAGATCTGTCCACTGTCCTTGATTTGGCATCCTTGTCTTTCCTCAGTTTAGTGTTTTATGTCACTAAGGGCTTTGATTTAAGATACAGCACCATCATAAAAGAGGTGACAGTAACAGCTGAGCTCTCTGTTAAAATACTGTATATTATTTATTTCAAACTGTGTGGGTATATAGGCATTTTCCCGGAATTTTATTACCTTTTATTGGAGGCCATTTCAGGATTTTATTACTCTTCTCTCTGATTTTGTTTATGTGTCAGAGACTTGAAAATAAGGGAATTGCTTAGTTGTCATCTCCAGTGAGGTTTTTAGAAGATGTTGCTGAGTTTACGGCTCTGCCCCAGAACAGGAGGAGGAACACACTAGTTGGCAGGGCTCTGGACTGGGACTGATTTCTCCCCTCATTTTCTGTGTGGCTTTGGGCAAATCACTCATCTGTGCCTTGAGTCTGTAGTGGTGAAGTAAAGACAGCACTTGCCTGTTGTGTTGGGGAGGTGAAGAACTGAGGTTCAGAAACTATGATGAAGACCAATGTAGCAGTCATCATTCAGAGACGGGAGGGAATCTAGAACTTGATGAAAAAGATCGGATTGAAAAAACTGCCCTGCCGGGAGGATGTACCAGTGCCTAAGTAAATGCTGAGAAGTGCAGCAAGCTGGAAACCCAGTGCCCTTGGCAAAATAGGGCTTTATGCAGTCTCTCACTGCAGGCTTAAGAATATAATCCCATTTTTGCATGACATCTTTCAAATGTTGTAGAACACAATGCCACAAACTTGCCCTGAACTTGGGAGTTTCTGCCTGCAGCTTCCTGTTGCACAGGGCAGTGGGATGGCACTGACTCGGTGTCAGTGTCGCTCTCTCTGGGACATACAGCCCCTTGGTCATCAGGGCTAGGACCCCTCGCCTTCTGTGGATGATGTTTGCTTGTTCTTCTCTACACTCCACTTTCAGTCACTTGAGTACAGGGCTTTCCCACGGGTTGGAGCAGGCTAATGGGGCAGAGCTTTAGGCAGGAACAGGCAGAAATTCCTGTCTTGCCAAAGAAATTCAGCTTACTTGGCCCGTGTACAGTTAGAAATCCTGCTTACAGTTTTTAGTCCTCCTGACCACGGAGGTAGGTTCAGTTCTTCTTACTACTCCGTAGCTGTAGGCCGCAAGTATGATTCACCTTACAAGATTTACAGTCAGGTAAGAGTATTTGTCTGGAACTCCCTGCTGTATAAATATATTAATTGAAAAATTAGCAAAGAGCCATTTTACCACCACCACTGGGATGAGGAGGATTGGAGATCAGTTGTGGAGTAAGGTGTAAGGAGGATCTCAAGATTTCTCCCAGTCTCGACCAGCAGCTGAAGTTGTATGGGGTGGGTATGCAGTGCTAACCTGTCTCTGAGTGTCTGTCTATCTGAGCACTCTTCTGAATGTTGTGACCTTCAGCTCTCAGATGAAGGCTTTTATCCAAGGTTTCTAAATTTCCATTTTGGCCACAAATGGAAATGTCTGCAGACACTTCCTGTTTGGAGCTGCCTGGGTCATCTTTGTACAATTCATGAGTATAATGCCTGGAGATGACTCTGCATGCAGTTGCAATACTAGGAAAGTATTTAATGCATTCTAGCTGTCTTCTTTTTTTAATGCAGCTGATGAACTGTAGATGAGGAGAGCTAAGCATCAAGTGACCAGTCAGCCCCCTGGAGACCATCAGTAATTTTGTGGACACAGAATGAGAAACTCTTGACTTGAAATACTAATACAGGCTCTTGTCGTTCTGCTGATTATGGAGAAAAAGAGCTTTTGAGGTCCTTCAGGGAAATAGCATCAGGACAGAGTTCTTCACAAAATTTTGCCCCCAGTATTCATCATCATTGGCATATTTAGCTAAAGCTCCTCTTGCTCAGCTGTCAGGCTCAGGTCCTCTCTAATGTTACATTCCTGGTTGGTTTCTGATGCATTATGGAGTCTTGCAGCAAAAAGAGGGAAGCCAAAACCTTTATATTCTCCTTTCCAACAAAACCACTGCAAGGCTTTTTAATATATCTTAAAATAGCAAACAGGGCACAAGTACACTTTTTTCCCCTCTTGATGGATGAAATTTAACTACTGTTCCTTGATTTGTATTACTATCAATGTTACTAACAGTCTTTCCTGACACTAGAACAGCCTTTGAATGCCAAATCTAAAGAGAGGAAACTGCTGCCGTGTTTTGATGATGGCAGTGGAAAATTAATATTAAACATATCATTTTTTTATCCAACTTGGCCAATTTTTGCAGGTTAGATGTTGAACTAAAGAATTGCCAAGCAGGCATTTTCCATACAGGTAATGAATTTGCATTTTATTTCCATGTTTGTTTTGCTTTTTAAAACAAGTGGTCCAATCCACCTCTGAGCACGCGAGAAAACATTTACACTATGTGAATCATGACTGATTTATTATAGGACTTAACCGTTGCTAGCTCTTTCTCGTGTTTCTCCATGAAATGTGGTATGTTGCTTTAAAGGCCAGCTAAGATGTTCTAATTTGAATGAATTGCTCACTGGGAGACAGTCAGATGTACAGAAAATTAATTTCAGTTAGTCACTCATATCCTCTAACACTTTAAATGAAAACATAGTGTAACTAATAAATATCTCTCAGCATGGGCATGCTCTCTTTAAAGCCTGATTAATGATTCCATCCTCAGCATAAAATCTCCACCCTGTTAAGGTGAAGAATTGTTAGTTGATTTAAGCACTTCACCTGCCCGAACACTTGAGCATATTTCATAAAACATTTGATGAATGCAGTTTAAGTTTTGCTTGGCTAACAAAATGTTCAACCAGCAGCCTTTGCTCACCTCCAGAACATCCCCGTGTTCCCTCCCTGGGGTCTGATTAAATCCCCCATCTGTGCTGGGTTTTCTTTGCACGGGGCTCTGCCCTGTGTTAGGAGGACTTGATGCAATAACTGCTTCCCAGGGGCTGTTGCATTTGGAGCTGTGGTTCTGCTCTGGCTTCCTACAGTCTTTCATCCATCATCCCTGTGGGATATACAGCACTTTCATTTAAAAAAGGAAAAAAACCCAACCAAACAGAAAACCCCCAAACCCTGTGTTTTGTGTAAATCCCTATCACAATATTTTCATTTCAGTTAGATTAATGTGGCCAGTGACACCTGTGTGCAAGGGGCTTTATTTTCTGTGAGAAAGGGGCACTGATAGCAGCCAGATCTCTTGGGTCCTGACCCATATTCCCTTGCTCTTCCATACAAGGATAGAGGCACATTCACTTACACATTCTCCTGAGCTGACTTCAAGAAAATATCTGTTACCCAAATCTCAACCTGCTAATTGCTCCGTTCTAGAGACAATTGTCAGCGCTGGCTGGCTTCATTGCAGGAACGTGGTTGTGCCTTTGGAGTCCTGGGCAGGTGATGCCTCTGTCAGTTCTCTATGTCCCCCTTTGTGGGTGAGTTTACAGACGAGCTATGGCCGCTAGGCTTCGCTGCAGCGAGAGGAAGGGCTTTGTATCTGTCCCATCAGTACACCACCCTATGGAAAACTGCTTGAATCCCACTGGCACCGAGTCTGTTTTACAGTGGCTGTAAGATTATTATGTTTTTCCTGTATCTATCCACCAATTCTGGCTCATTCCCTTGTTTCCTCGTGTTTCTTATTTCTCCCCCGACGTTTTAATTTCTGGTGTGCTTGTGACAGACTGGTTCACCTCTGGCACTCAGGCCTTGACTTGTCTCTCATTCAGTGCTTCCTATGCAGGGGGATGCCTCAGAGCAAATTCAGAAGCTGCTTGGCATTCTTTTGCTCTGGGTTTGTCCCCTTGTCTTCCAGAAAACCTTGAAAATAATTTTAAAAGTCAGTTCTCTCGAGTTTTCTGCAGAAGGAGGTGAATTTCAGCCTTAATGAATAATCATCTCCGTAGAAACCCTAATCAACAGATTTTTTTTTTGATACTGGTGGAGGATGAGGCATTTGGCTGGGTAATAAACATAACATTAAGTGAGAAATCACTTGCTGGTTATCCCTGTTGGGTAATGCATGCAGAAGAAATGAGCTGCATAACAAAATTGCTTCCCTTGCATCACGCAAAGAAAACACAGGGGTGCAGAGGCGCTAATAACTGCGAGAGAACTAAAATGAGGGTAAGATAGGATTGAGTTGTATCGGTTTTTTCCCTCAAAAACCTGTCTTCTGTCATAAGAACAAAATTACACTGAAACCATCAGAACACAATATTTCTTTAGCCAAGTCCCCTTCCATTTGCTTTGTTCTAAAAGAAGGAAATTTCTTTTCTTTAGGTAAAATTTGGAACCTGTAACACTCCCAAGCCAAGCTTCTTTGATTTTGAGGGAAAGCAGAAATGGTAAGATGAAATCCTTGTAATTCCTAGGAATTTCTGGCTCTGCTTTTTGTTGTGTCTTGTCTCATCTGTTGACGGATTATGGATCTAGAGGATGTCAACTCTTGAGAGTCTGCCACTGAACTGTCTTTAAAATCTTTCATTTGATAAAGAAACGTTTGCTGCTATGTCTGATGCAGACCTGAAATACCAGATTCCTGTATTTACCTTGTTCATCCAGAATTAGCCTGTAAACAACAAAAATTTTGTGAAAATAGCTACAGCTTTACAAACAGCTTTACTTTGTGAACACAAACTATGCTTCAGCCTGGATCAGGATCCCCTGAAAGATCCTTTCACAGTGGAGTGCTGCACTGACAGTGGCCATTCATGACTTCAGAGAAAAGTTGACCATTTCAAACTGAATGAAAAATGGCTTTGCACCCCCGAATGTATTTAAATGAATCTGTTCACTATGTTCCACTGATGACACTATAAAAACAGTGTGCTGTCTTCAAGTGACTTGCTGATGTTTTGATGTTTTTCCTAGGGAGGCTTGGAAAGCCCTGGGAGATACCAGCCCTCATCAAGCTATGCAGGAATATGTTGCTACAGTGAAAAAACTGGACCCCAGTTGGAATCCACAGGTAGGAAACAGGAAAATACTGTTCAGAAAACAAACTGGTATTTGTCTTTGTAAAGCTGACAATGGTTTGGCATTATACAGATTTTAATTGCTGCATGGCAAACTTCATTTTGAGCAGATTAAAGTCTAAATTCATTTTTAAAACTCTCCTTTTGTTATGACTGAAACATGAAGGCCCATCTCATTCATAATTATCCTCATTACAGTGAGCACATGCACAGGGTTGGCTTGACTGGAGTGATCTAATTTATTTTGCTTTTATTGGTTCATGCTGTATTTAGCATGTAAAGATACTTTTTATCCTTTTCTCATCTTTCTCTTTTCAACTACTATTTAAATGTTGATCAATACAAAGTAATCTCCATGAAAGTGACATGAACAGCATGATCAATTCTAAAAATGTTTCCTTTTTGTTTCGATGCAGCAAATTACCAAATCTGATTATGATTAGGTACTCCCAACATAACAAGTGTATTTGTAAGTCCTGTATGTGTGTGTTATGGGGAGAATGTACTGTCATTTTACTTAATCGGTCTTTCATCTGCCAGGTTTATTACTTGATTGAATATTTAAAGGTATCTCCCTGTTTATAGACTGATTTTTATATAATTTTTAAAGAGGATTGCTCTTTAGAAAAAGTATTACCTTTGATTGGAGGTATTTCAGCAACAGCAAAAATGCTGAAGGCATGGTAATTTCTTTTCATGGTAGGAAATGGATTCTTTTTTGGTCCTGCACTTGGTCGGAAGCAAAATCTTATGTTGAGCACAAGCCTCTGGATTAAGAATTTGATTCTCAGCTGTTTTCTGATGCTGATCTGGAGATTTAAGAGTAATTGTTTTTTCTTCACTCATTCATGTTTCATGGTGTTGATCTTGTTTTTGCAGCAAAGAAATACTGTCATTTAGCGGAAACCCTTTTTAATGGCCTTGGGGAAAATAGTTGTATATGTTGTGCAGAGCAGTTAGCAAAAGCTAACTGCATGCTGTGTAAATTCTTATCCAATCTAAAATTCTCATACAGAAATAAAATAATTTACAAATAATCCATGGATGATCCTGAATGAAGAAAGTGTTTAGTAAAGTGAAACATGAATACTCATTAAACAATGGAAAAAAAAAAAACCCAACACCAAAACCCAGAAAACCGTAACACCCCACACTTTCCTGAATTTTTATTAGTAGAGCTTCTGTTCATTTAGATTTCTCATGCATGGTGACAAGCTTAGCTTTGGGTACTCCCTTCACTTTCTTGCCTCAGAGAAATACTTATTGTAACAGGTGTTACCTTCAGGTTACAAAACTGTCAGCTAGGAAACTGGAATAATCTGTTAGTTTGTTAGAAAATATTTTTAAAGAAGCCATATAACAAAGAATGGTTTGCAGCACTGCTCCTCACCTCTTGCCCTAAGCTGAGAAATGAATGCCTGTGAGCATGTTTCTTCCCACTGCAGTCCTTGCATAAGCCTGTCCCCAGGACTCAGCAGAAACTAGACCATGCTGGTTAATGCTGTTGCACCAGCGTGTTTGCACATTCGTGCATTCCTTTGTCCTCCCTTTTTGAACAGTTGATACAAGAAATGTGGGCTTGCAGGGAGGATAGCGATGCTGGAGCTTGAACAGAAGTTTCTGTGAAGGTGGCAGGACTGAGTTGATGGAGTGGTTTAAAAAATGTGATTTTTCTTTCTTTAGCTGCTTTTGTTGTAGTATTTCAATAGATACTTTTCTCTCACTCATGTAACTATGCATATATTCCCTGGCTTTTTGAAGCCAGTGATTTTTTTCCTCTGTGTGGTCTCAGGGCACGGGGCTATAATGCTGAGGAAAATTTGTAGGGTGTTGGCTGGTTTGCTGTCCCTGCACCACTACACAGGAGGTTTCTTGTCCTGACTCTTTCCTCTTCCTGTGCCTTGCTTATGGCTGAGCTAGTCTCAAGAGATCTGAGTGCTTTACATTGAAGGAATGTGCTCAGGTGCAGAAAGGCCTAGCAGAGGAAGTTACATTAGCAGAGAATGTAATTTAGAAGTTAGCATTAAAGTACAGGTGGCATTGCTTTCTTTAAAAGAAATCACCCGTCCTTCCTATGACATCTTCCTTTTAACTCCACTTTTATATGACCAAAATGCTATCAGGAGTCCTCTCACTTTGATCTGTCTCATAGTTCTCTGTACTCTTTTTTTTTTTTTTT